ACTGGCCAATGTTGGCATGATTTACGGTACCAAATTTCTTCTAAATCGGTTCCATGGTTAAAGTGAAGAGGTAACAGACAGCATTAATAAATATTAATGTGGATTACAATTTAAACATCATGACACCTCACCAAATGTCCCATTACACCCTGTAGGAGTTACTGTAGGAGTTCCATTGTTGTAACTTAATGAAGTGAGCGAGGAGCTCGATAGCGCAAGTGGTTAGCGCGTTCGGCTGCTTGAAGTTAAGCAACTTTCGCACTTTGGTCGGTCATTGGATGGATGACCAAAAGTTTACTATCTCGAGCTTCTCCGTGCTTCTCCAAGCACGTTGGTTCCGGCTGCATCTGCAGTTGTTAGTACCCACCAATCCGCCTGCACTGTGCCCGCGTGGTGGGTCATGGCCCAATCTCCCCATTCCATGCATAGATTGCATAGGGAAGGCCTGTGCTCCAGCAGTGGTGGGAACATTAATAGACTGATGATGATTATTATTAACAACAATGCTAACATCCCAGCCGCAGACCAAATAACCTGACCACTGCGCTGTGCTATCAAACTTTTCCATATCATGAAGCCATTCGATAAAATAATAAAATAGGTATTTAACTGCTACGTAGGTAGTAGGTACTTATTATTATAGATTTCTGCGTTTTGTGTCACAAATGTGATAATGAAAACAGTCAGTCATGTTATTTAGGAGTGAATAAAGGGTTTTTCTTTTTTTACGGTATAGATAAGTACATGCTCAAAAACATTATCTTGGGATTTTTCGAGCAGTCTCACGGAACTACGAATCTTAGGAACGGGGAATACCTCGATCATAAACCGTAACCGTACGTACTGTACCGTGAGCGTTACATTACACTGAAGTAGGTAATAATAATGAACTAAGTAATAATCGAGTCAGACTCGCGCACGAACGGTTCCGTACTATTATCTATAACTAGTGGCCCGTCTCAGCTTTACACAGGAGTGTAAAATACTATGGAAACGTAATGAATCAGCATCCGAAAAAGAAAATGAATAAATTAATACAGATTTTGAAAGTAGGCGGTCTGAGTTTCTTATGTAAACATGTTGTTTTTATTATAAATAAATAAATATAGAAGAAGACATAGATATATTCGGTAAATTAAGACTGCTCCAACATTAAGCCCAGTTGTCATTCACATGTCAAATTATGAAGTTTAAGCTTTAAGAGTATTTAATTAATAAAAAATCAGAGCAAGTCTGCTGAAAACAGGTCGAATATCTGAAATCTACTTGGTCAGGAGCATGGCCACCCTGATTTTTGAGCTTAGCAAAAAGTTTCTAAGTAAATAGGAATAGGTATATTAAATTTATAGTCAGTCCTGTCAGAGTATCCGTTTCTCTCTCTTTATATAATAGTATAGTTATACAATATTAGATAGTATTTATTATAATATCGAGCAAAAAACGGCATAAATATCACGTCTGTTGTATGGGAGCTCCCGTTAAATACTTATTTTATTTTAAATTAAATATTTATTTTAGAGTGAATATACAAGTGTAAAAATATTCTCGTACTCATATCACTGACTTATGAAATAGTTCGCTTCTTAGCTAGACATCGGCATTACAACAAATCGCGAAAAGAAAAATTATTTGTTTGTTTTCGTCACAACTTACAAAGTATATACTTGGTAAATCGGCGTTTTCAGCATTTTTCAAGGATCGCTTTGTTATTAGTCTGACTGTCTGTCACAACCCTTTATCTCGGGAACCCGTGGAGAGTGAAGGAATCGGGTTAAAATTTAAACCATATACTCAGGTCTACGGTCGCTTGAAGCTCTGAAAAAAATCAAACTTCAAAGTTAACATATACCTATTCATATTATGTATGTATGTCCGGTTTTTTATATTATTTTAAACAGTAGGTGGGTATGACCTATGGGACAAGACCGAAACATTTATAAAGTATTCGTATAAAGTTATAATACTATGTTGTAAATTAAGTATTCGACTGAAATAGAACAAACAGGTCAGCTAGAAAATAAGCAAAAACAAAACTTCGTCCCTAAGGACACCGTGTTTCATTAAAAGGAGAATGTGTATCCATAGGGCCTGACTAATGCGAAGGAACAAAGAATCGGATGCATCGTCCGTCGCTGAATCACGCACGCACGGCACGACCCCATCTCATCCAGCATTCCGATCTGATGAAATCGTTCCTTCCTCCATCCAACGCGTAATACCTTACAATTCGAAACTTTGGGACAATATTTGCTACGTCAATGGATCGTGAACGTAATCATAGCATAAACGAATGACGTACGGATGTGAAACTTTCGTTGTTTTAAAATAAACCGAAGAACAAAAACGGCATGGGGATTCTACGTAGGGACGTTATGAAACCAAGTTCAGCTTCGTGACGTAAACCTTCATTTGTCCTGTTATTCTTTGTACCATTTTTACGTAAGTATTTCTTGTTGTAAAATGTATAAATGGTATTCGGTAAAGGCTAGGCATTTTTCTGAAAAACCACTAAAACATTTTATTGGCTAAATACTATTTCAAAGACCACTGCTATAAAATATTACTTACCTTACAACAGTAACTACCTTAGTCCGTCATCCATATTTATGTTGCAATAAAAGTTTACAAAGGTACTAACGTATCTGACGGTTTCGTTAAATTGACAAACTACAATAGAAGTTAAACTACATTAATAATTTTGAATTCTTATTGGATCTTATAATAACACTATTTTGTAATGTTTCCTTGTAAGTTATAGGACCAGATTTACACAGATTTGTGAAATGCATATAATCTAATTGCTTTAATAAAATAGGTAATAGCCGAATTTTCGATTACTTATAATAATATTGGAGCGGCCACCTGAAGAAGTATTCTCTGCCCTAACAGTATACCACAGTGAAATAACCATGAAACATGGGTATGGTTTCTACTGGTGTGTAAGTTTATAAGGTTGTTTCTGTCGGTTTCTTAAAAATCCAATCCCCTATTTGAGGAGACAAATACGAGATTGAATTCAGACCAGCAAGGTTGGAATGAGCGGAATACTTCACCATCCTAGTGACGAATACAATAACAGCTCCGACATGATTTTGAGAACAAGGCCTTTACAGTTAATACAGTCAATCTGTAGGTTGAGTGGTGAAAAAAAAACCTGCGCAATTTATAACTTGAAAACGGTAAGTAATACAAAAAAATTGTTTATACAAAACTTGTTGGTAATTATGTACGAAACAACTTTGCCATTTAAAGTTTTCCATTAAAATGATATTTTCAGGGTGAAAAAGTGAAAAAACACTTTTTTTGAGACTTTAGCGCCACCTACAATGCGCATTTTTGGTTGTACGAGATTGCAACAATGACATAAATTGTAGCACTTAACGCTCTCTACAATTATGGTCGAAAAAAAAGTTTCTAAAATGCATACAAAACAAGAAAAATGCGTTTCAAAAATTTTTTGACGGTTTTTTTGAGTTTTTCAAAAAACGCCTACGAGTTAAACATGCCCATCGCCAAGGTGGCTTACTGACGTTATTTGGCAATAGAGAAAACAAGACTTACCTTAAGGTTTTTTTTTCACTGAAACGATATTTTTTTCGACAGATTGACTGTACTAAGTGCCTTTAAAGTTTCAACTTTAAAAGCGGCAGTTAAAACATAAGACTGGCGATATTCTCCGTAGATACTATCAAAATTAATTCTTATGGGCTGCTCTCAATGCAGGTTTTTGGTTTAATTAAGTTAGTGACAATATAATCTTGTCGATGATTCACTATAGGATCTCCTCAACACTGTTTACAAATCATTGGAAATGGGTTTGGTAATTTGGTTACGCCACAGAAATAAATCAAGAATCAATCTTGATTTGTTAGGGTTTCCTACCTCAAAAGGAAAAAACGGAACCCTTATAGGATCACTTTGTTGTCCGTCCGTCTGTCAAGACCGTTTTTCTCAGCAATCAAAAGATACAGCCGTTTATGCCGCAAATTTCATATTTTGGAAACTCGCACGGGAATCAAACCTACAGGGAATTCCCGTGAACTTATAATCTTGAAAGGTACGAAGTAACGTCTTATAGTACAGATAAAGGAAAAATTGCGAAAACCGTAAATTTTTAGTTACATCATGTAATAAAAAATATTTATTGAAAATTTTAAAGTTACTACCTCTTGTCTCATGAACGCGTACGCGTAAGAGGTATTAAATTGAGTTTGTACGGAACCCTCCGAGTCCGATTCGCACTTGGTCGGTTTTTTTATGTATTGCGCCATATTTGATGATCTTTGGCCGTTATTGTCAGTAGAATAGTAGTCAGGAAAACAAAAACTACTAACGGAAGAAGTTCAAATTGTTTACAGGGTTTCCTGTACGTGTTGTGGTAGTAGCGAAGGTACCTACAATAATGATAATTTTCAATGAATATATGGTTAGATAGTTGAACTTGAGATGTAAGTGGCAAAATCTCTTCATATTGTTCTACAATGAGATACATCAAGTGTTAATAACATACAAATAAAATACACAATATCACCCCCTAGATAGGATTAGGCACAGTCTTATTAGAACAAACAAAATGACAATTATAATGTAATTACATGATGCAAACATAAAATCATTAATAAATTAAATAAAATAAATTACCATATATACCTACAGTACCTACAAACCTACTACAAACAAAGCATATAGCTTTGAATTTTCGTATAATTATTATCATGTCCTAGATAAACTTAACCTAACCATCCAAATTCTGTGAATTTTAATCTGAAGATTTAAATTTTCTTGAGATTATGAATGAGTTAGTTATTCGCTATTTATAGATTACGTAGCTATGCACAATATTTAAAATAATAGTTTTAGCAGTTTCCTGTTCTTAATTTAGAAAAAAGAGCGTAAATATATTTTAATATTCACAAGTATAATATTATTGCGGTTTTAAACAAATTAAGTATTTTTATCGAAACCACAGTCTAGATAAAACCTAATGATTTGTAATTTACCGTCAATAACAAATACCCATGCTCATCTCTATGCTGCAACAATAAAACAATTATTCTTGCAACTAATGCGAAAATGTGACTTCATAGATTCGTCATGAAATCCGTCATCGATCTGCAAGAAACGAAGACCATGGACACGCGATGACTATACAAAGGAAGATAATAAACAAACACCACAGTTACAAGAACTTGCACAATGAAAAAAAAATATTGCGCAACAACTCACTACGTAAGTTTTACTTATTAGTTAGAGATCACATTTTCCAATTTGCCAGTTTCATTGATACGTCACGATACACAGTGCGCGATTTATATAAAAACAAAACAGTCATAAATATTATATTTTTAATTTTTTGCATTGTTAGTGGCTGTAGCTGCAGAGTTGGACGGACTTTCGAGTGCGGTGATTAGTCTGTTTGAATAGGTAAGTAGGATGTGACAAATGAATAACCTAACACTACATACATGCATAATAATTTTAACCACGGAATTTATTTATTCCATCAGTAAACATTACCTACTGCAGTAAAATATAAATACCTAAATACCTTAACGAAACAGACAATTTTGGCACAGAAAGCTAGCTTCCGCCCGAGACTACATTCGTTAAATTTAGTTTCATGTTCTTTTTGTCCTAAAAACCTTCGACAAAGTACTTAATTATTAAAAAAAACATAAAATATAGGAATGAAATCCACAGAACAGAATCAGCAAACAGTCTCAACTTATGGTGTGAACAAGGTTGATTTTTATATTTATAGCTTAAAGATTTATAAGAGAAGTAGGGTGGAAAGGATATTCCAGATATGAATACTGTACTGTACTTTCTATTGGTGAGTATAGTTACAGGGTTAGGGTTCAGATCAGCAGGGTGAGGATATGATTTAATCGGCACACATTTACCCTGCTATCTTCGCGACTGGACTCTACTTACACTAGTTACACTTAACATCTGATGGGGTAATAAGTTTAGTTGCGCCCTTACCCCCTTATTAATAAACAAGGAATAAGCTTAGACTAGTTACGCCGTGTTTTGTTTACATCACTCTAATGCCATTTGTCATTTAATAAACAAAGACAAAACATGAAGTAGCTAATCCAAGCGTAGTCTTCGTTTATTATTTGTTTATAATAAGGAGGTTACAGATTAATTATATTCTAAGGTCGCGAATCGTATCAAAATAAAACCTAGATAGGTTTTAAGAGCCTTTCACATTTTTTGCAAAAAATCTAAATTTTTGAGCGCCTCGTTTACCCGCTTAGAAAATATTTTGACTATTTCCAATAGAAGTAAACAGTAGATTTATTCTTCCTATTTTAAGTTAATGTAGAATATTTGCAAATACTATTTTCCTTTTTTTTACTGATCGTTCTACCGCAGCTAGTTTACGGAAAAAATGCTAATATACACAACTTCAAACGCCTCAATCTCTCAATAATGTTCTATAAATTAGATCAATTTAATTACTACGTCATCAGAAATATGTTTTTGTTGTAACATAATGTATTAGAATTTTGATTTTCCCTCTCATTAATTGTCAAAAAAAAAAATCTAACCTCCGTGAGTTTTCCAAAAAAATAATGCAGGTTTACCTCGTATTTTGATATTGAATTAAATAGAATTACTATCAAAAACTTTCATAAAACTAATCTACCATCATTGAATAAAATTCATTTCAGTAGTTAAATATGTATATTATGCTTTTATAATTAGTTCCTTAATAATTATTTTATAAGACTCTTCTAAACATCACCCGTAAAATGTATTATATACTAGTGCAAATCTACCTAAGCGCCGATCAGTAAATCGCCGAGCAATTTTGTAAAAGGGCTCCTTGTGCATACAAACGGCAGAGTGACTTCATCCGATCATACAAAACATCACTCGAAGATGAACATTGTTTATGGACTATAAAAATGGATTTATACTGATATTATTATTATATTTTTTATTTTTTATTTTTTTTAATAAACATTTAATCTATATATGTACAGAAATAAATAATATTTAAATGCAAATTCCTTAACCTACTTATAAATAACATTCTATTTACAAAATAAAAAATAAGTCACCCCCAGCGCCGCCGTCAGGGATGGTGCCCAATAGGCTGGCAGCATTGCCACGTTGAATGGCAAGGCTGATCCGTTGACCAAGATAGCTGCCAGCCTTTTGATCACCAGTAACTTCGGTGAGTCTCTTTGATATTTCCTTAAAAAAGGAACGAGCGCTTGGACCCCATGGTCTCAACACCAAACGGCACAAATATATAGTTCTCATTGAGAGCTGAATATTTGCGCCGTTCAGCATTCAGCAGAGGCCGCCGCCGCACCCGCAGCAAGGGAGGTGCTCTCTGTGTGGCACGGAGCAAGCGTATCCGCGCAAGTTGCGTCCCACACAAGAGGGCGACCCTGCTTTCACGGAATGAGCGTCATTCCGTCAGGTCTCTTGCCATCGGCATCGTCACAAAAGATGCCGCTAGACTCAAGGACCGCTGGCACATTGACTGCGACAAGAGCTCTGCGGATGACGTCATTGATGCCGGCGTGGCGGGAGACTCGGCCAGCGCTCATTTGGCATGAGAGGCCATAGTGACCCAACTCACCGACGCGAGCACCGCAACGACAACGGTGGGGATGATTCATCTTGACACCAAGTCGAAGTGATATTGCCAGAGACAGAGTGCTCTTGTCAAGCAAAGTCCCGATACTGGCTGAAGGTAAAGCCTGCAGCCAGTAACCAGACTCTGCCTGAAAGACCGCTAGAAGTCGAGCACGCTCAGTGGTGTTTTCAGAAGAAGCTAAAAGATCACTCTGAAAACGCAAACAGAGCGGCTCGTCCCACTGTCTCTGAGAAGATAGAGAGGTTGATGGATCCACTCCCGGGCATGCCCTAGACCAAGCGTTTCTAGCCTGTACAAGGTGAGCCAACTCAACTACACCCAAAGACGGGCATAGTATTTTACTAAAGAGCTCGGCTGTACCATATGCAGAAGATAGAAAAGCGGGAAGTTTCTAGCAAATAACTACAAATGTTGGCTGAGTAGTGAAAATTAATAAAGTTAATATGTACCTAGATTGCAATGATAAGTCTTCGAGAAAATAATAACTGCACAAAACAATACAAATTGTCATCATCATCAGCCTATTAATGACCTTACTTCTGGGGCCTTCCCTATGTCTAGAATAGGGAGATTGGGCCTTCCATTCCACGCGGGCTCAGTGCGGATTGGTAACAAATTTTTAATCTATGTTAAATCGATTGTCTTTTTTGGCGGATTTTTTAACGTGACCCATTCTAAGGACCGATGCCATAATGATGCGAAGTAGAGAATATGAGATATGGATTATTTACTACATAAGTATGTTTTTGCGTTATAGGCATTGTTAGCTGGTCCGCATAATACGTACATGATTACGTATAAGGCTACATCAAAATCTGTTAGTAATTTTGTTATTTTGTATTTTCATAATATTTATTTATTGCCGGTGAGATCATCTCTTATATAAATTTCCCCTGATACTTGATACTTGTGGCGAGGTTAGCAAGCTGACGAAGGAAAGTATTTATTGCTTATAAACAAGATTTCTTTATATAAATAAATTCTTAGAACCTATATTGACCGCGGCCGAGTGGTTTGTACGCCGGATTTCATGGTGTCGCCTACTCGAAAGTTCCCGGGTTCGAATCCCGGTGGGGGCAGATGTTTGTGAGATGAATACGAGCATTCGTACTCCAGTCATGGATGTATTATATGTATTTGTGTATAAATATAGTTATATATGTATCAGTATATTTATTCTATTCGTTACCCTAGTATATCCGATAACAGAAGCCTATAGTGCTTACTTTGGGATTAGGCTAATTGGTGTGAATGTTGTAAATATTTATTTATTAACATAGAATATTGATGTTAAACTAAAAATACTTAGTTATTACACTGAACTCAAATGTAAACTCGCGGTAAAATGTAAGTAAGGCGGAACCTTACTTACATTTTACCGCGATTAGACATTATACATATCCCAGTGAATAAATAAATATAAATATAGCTTAAAAGTTAATTGCATTTAATTAGTTAATTAAATACAAAACTAAACTTATAACAAATAACCCGTGCAAATAACTTATTACTTACCTACATATAAATTTTATAACATGATTTGATTACCTTCTCGCATGATCACAGTCACGTAGTGAGTTCGTAGGTAGAATCTAGGTACCTATAAGATAAACGTGTGTACTTACATAAATGTCGCATGCAGATTTTAAATTAAGCCTTATCATACCGGATACTGGTATTATATAAAAACTTATAAGAAAAAAATGCCGCCGAAAAGACTGAAAAGCCGAAAATAATAAACCATTTTAACGCGCTTTTAATAGTTTCACCTTTATATTTGTTTGTTTGTATGTATGTAACTGACTCGTTTGGACTCGATTTTGCCCAACTGTTTATTCTCAAGACAAATTAATATTTGAGGTCGGTGCCATGCATGCCTGATAGATCTGAATTCCCATTTACTATTTGACTAAAGTTTTTATCGTGTCTATCTCACTATGGGACATTGGCGACATTTCTGTGTGAAACGGGGAAAGCCACAGTCACAAAAAAAAAGATAAAAAAGGGTTTATTAATTCCTGCTTTTCAGTTTATCGGCGGTTAAATTTTGATGCTAAAAAGTTTTATTTTATTATTTTTTGTAATATACAACTCATAATAAAAATTATTACAAATTCATAATAATAATTATGAATTTGGTTCTCGCACAACATTGTAGTTAATGTATGTACGTAGGTAAGTTATGTGATGCGCAAGTTGTGAGTAGTGTTTTCAGCATCTGAGATGTAAGATTTTTTTAATTATAATATCTTTTCCGTACAAAATAATAATAAAGGTTTAAATACCTAAGGAAAACAAAAAATGAAACCGCCGAAAAGTAAAAAAAAAAATTATCTTTAGTCAAATTAATATTTGGTGTCGATGCCAGTGCCAGGCCAACCCAAGTAGTAAATGGGAACTCAGATCTGTCAGACCTACTTGGCACCAACTCCAAATATTAATTTGACTAAACATAAAAAAGGTTTATGATTTTTTACTTTTCGGCGATTCAATTTATTTGTTAAAAAGTTTTTAATTTAAGTACAATTTTTTGTGGCTATAATTTTTGTAATACCTACACAACTCGGCATCAAAATCTGTGAGTGACAATCAATCATCCTATGTTTTCATATTATATATATTTGGGACCAACTTCAGTGACCCTTTCCAATAAAAAAAAGAATTATCAAAATCGGAGTACTCTGTAAAAAGTTATGCGTGAGTGATGCATAAAAAAGTAACAAATATACCTACTCGTTGATTTGAGCCGTATTTTTCGCCGGTTAAAAACAGTAAAGAACTCTCGCACCTATTAGATTATTAATCAGCATTTTTATCATCTTCAAATATTTGTTAGTGGTTCGTATTTATATTCACGTGCACTATATGTACACACACGTGTATGACTGTGGAGGAATAATAAGAAATATCAAGGTAGGTTGCTAGATGACCTAGAACCCTTCTAGAACATATGCAAACTTAGTCATAGTCCTAAGGTATGGTTGTGTCATAAAATTGAGCAATAATAATTTGCGATTGAAATCATTTTGAAATAAATGGTAATGTACCCGTAGGTAGTTAGTACCTACATACAAGTACCGACAAACTTACCAAATTATTCATTCAAAAAGTGGAATCCTAGTTTCTAATGAATATTGTTCATTGGTAACAAACTCAAACGAGCAATAGAATTTTTATATGTAGCCGTTCAGTTAAAACTAAATATTTATTAAGTAGGTAATTTAATTGTTTACTTTTCTGCCAACTAAAAATCATTAGCCAATAAAAGCAAAAAATTACAATTGAAAAACCAAAATTGACACGATGCATTGCCAAACGTAAATGAATGGTCGAATTCCATCTCTTTCTATACGACAAGGGTTTAGTACTAAAGAGCGAGACACAAAGAGCGCTGCCGCTACGTTTGCAAAACGCATGGCGTAGTCTCGCGTACTACGCAAGTTGACGCTGTGTCGACATTGGACGTTGGATCGCTTGCCGGCCCGAGGCTTCGCGATCGCAGGAGCGGGGCGCCCGAACAGAACGCCGCGCCGTCAAGCTCAGTCTCGCAATGGCGTTGGTTAGGTTTGGTTGTGTGTTCGTTTAGTTTCGCAACAACCCGAGCGGACACCGGCCCAAAATATTGGCCTGTCTATCCGTCTTCGAATTACTTGAAAACACTTCCTGTAATTCCTTACGCAACATAGCGACGTATTTGCCGCCACGGACAGTCAAATTTTGGTACGATATCCACTCAGGGCGAATCATTTCAAGGTTCGTACTACTTCATTCGTAATTTCCCCTTACTAAAGTAACGTTACTAAATCGTCGATTGTCTCGTAGTTTCGTTTTTTAAATTTTGTAACATCGGCGTCCGCAATAAATTCGCGAACGCAACACGGTCAAGTGTGAAACTCGTTCGTTTCTAATCGTCGCTGTGTTTTGTTCGCAGATCATGTTCATCTCATCTTAGTTCCTGCTTCGTATTAAGTGTTTTATGTGTGTTGTGACATCGTGTAAAGTGACCTGTGAAAGTGTATCAGTGATGGATCCGGGATCACCTTCGTTGTTGTGGCCGCTGCGCCTGAGCAAGCCGGCAGAGAGCATGTCTGCGGTGGCGGGGGAGCACAGCAAGGCGGAGGATCGGTCGGCGTCGCCGGCGCTGGCGGAGCGGCTGGCGGCGACGCCGTCGCCGGCGAGCCCCGCGCCTCCTAGCCCGGCGCCCCCCCAACACCAGTTCCAGGCGGCGCTGGTCGCCGAAAAGTACCTCCTGTTAGAACAAGTTGAGGGCTCGTCGCTGTTCCGATGTGTAGACGTGCGCACTCAAGAGGAATACGTTTGTAAAGTGAGTATTAATTTATAATCATGCGCTTGCGAACTTTGCGAATATCAATTGTCTATACCTATATTCTATATATTTTATAAAAAGACTAGGGTGAAATGAATTGGAAAACGTCGCAATTGTGTTAACATTTACGAACAAAGATACATAATCGAAACTTCGCAAAAATATGATAACAGTAAAGTTTAGGTAGGTACATAGTTCTTATTTAAGTAGATAATGGAATCATGCCAATGTTATCTGTTGCAATATCTAAGTAGTTTGCATGATATAGGTAGGTAGTTAGCTATACTATGTATAGTTCTCGTAATCTCGTTTGTTTTGACACTTGCAAAACTTTATAAACTCAAATTGATGTAGGTGGATCGTATAAAGATTAATCGATCAACTTAGAAAGTTTTGTGAAAGTACCATAGTTGGAAACATGTTTCATATACATACTTACAGAAATTTATAATTTCTTTGTGTTTTCGTACCCACAATACTTGAAAGCGCTATAAGTTATCCTAAACTGTACTGAATATTTTACCAATTTTTACCTTATATGCTTGATACAAAGTCTGGAATCCATTGAGGAAAACTGAAATATGATTGTTATGGTCAACTTGGATTTAATGCTCTCCTCTGTACACACAAGTGAAACCACGAGCATTTGCTCCCTGTAAGAAATACCTATATCTAGCTATTAAGTAAAATTATTTATAGCTATTGTCCGTAATGACTGTGTCGTTGATTTTACGAACAGCCACCCCGATTAAGTTACCCAAAACTATGCAATTTTTCAACTAACTTTAACCATTATATTGCTCAACACAAGATTCATAATTTATTGAGATAATGCAAGACTGTGTGGTATAAAATCACGTGTTATCGACTGTAAGTTCTCAATACAATGCATAGTTGTATTGCATTGCACTAAGTTAATATCAATGAGTCTGTAGATAAAATAAAGATTAAAACAGCATAGGTAGGTAGTCAGTTTAGTAGGTAGTTCTCGCATTAAAATTTGTAATGTCTAACGTGCTTATACTGACTACGCTGTCAAAACTACCGTAACTAATGATTCTCCGTCATCGTTAAGCGATACGAGGGAGGATAGGTCATTTTACATTATGTCAATGTAGTTTAGAGAAGGCAGCCAAAGCTATTGTCTAACTAACTAAATGATCTATCAAGGCGCGACATGGCTAGGATAACGTGTGCCGCGCGTGTCGAAATTGTGACCGATTTCAACAACTCTTGCGCAGTGCAGCTGTTTGATTGATATATAGTGCGTAATCTCTTGTTCTGTGCGGCCTCTGGTCCATTTGTCAATGACTCATAGTGAGCCAATTAAAGTTATTAAACTTAAAATCCTAACACGTAGACTTTAATATCGTTTAAAGAAACGGCTAAGAATACCACGAAAACCCAATCGATAATAAATTGAGATTATTCTTAATGACGACACAATGAGATGATATTAATATTATCAACTCATTTCCTGTGATAAGATTACAGAAGACAGACATACAATGTAGGTATGTCATGAAAACAGATATATTCTAAATCCCTGACTGTTTTATATCAGAACGCAAAATCTGGCGAATTTAAAGGGTTCCTTCTATCCCACGGGATCGGGACCCCATGTAGAGATAAGCCTTGTCCACATAATGTTCCCACATGGTGAGACCCTTTCCCAACAATTATCCAATAGTTACATGAAAATAATTCATTTAATTGACTCGACTTTTGAAAATTATTCGTAGAGATAAAGAATGACTACAAAAAGTTCTCATGTCAATTAATCTAATAAAATTCGAGTACATAATAGCTCAGACACAGAACAAAGCAGTCTGACATTAAAATAACTTAGCAACTTCAAACGGTTTGTGTCTAATTAGAAAAATTTACGTATTTTTCATGAGCGCGAATGTATTGTTCGCTACATCACTGTACAAAGCCGGTGTCACATTTTATGTGTCATGGGCTCACGGCCTTTTGCTGCTCGATCGCACTTGTAGGCCACTAACGTCGCCGTTTTTACAATGTCATGTGTACTCACTCATGCAATCGCAATTAAAATTAAAAAATATTTATATTAAGTACAACATCACCTAAACCCATCTAAACTTCTTGTGTGTCAAAAACAAAGAAAGGAGACTGAGAAATGGGAGTTCGTCCAAAAACAATACTGACGCCTTTGTGGTATTATTGTTGGATTACCTTAACTATACTTATATACGAAAGGGCATCAAAATCTGACCAGTCACCGTAGCATGAGCACCACAATTTACATTATATCACATTTTTATCGCGTCTAACTGTCAACCTCCATAATAATCTGACAATTGAGCGTGATAAAAACACGATATTACCTATATCATATCACGGTGCTCATGCTAAGGGGGCAGGTACCACTGCAGTTTCGAGAAAAAATACACTTTACATTACATACCTACATTTTACTACATGTTTTGTTTAATTTGGCAATTACTGACCGAATTTGCTTTCTGTGACGTATTATTCTGCAAGATATACTCACATAGAGAAAGGCATACTACAAAAAAAAATAAGTTGTTTCATTTCCTTGACACAAAAGTACCTAATAACATAACATATCAACCAGAAATAATATTTATAAAAGAAAATGAAAAAAAAAATGTTTTGCAATGTCTGTACTGGATATGGAAAAAAGGTGTCGTCATTCCTTTTGGCCAGGACCTGGATCTGAGGAATGACGACATCTTTCTGTTGCGTAGAACATCAATTATATAATAAACCTTAACAACAAAACTACGAACGGAAAAAAAAACACATCTATCAATCGATCGTGTGTTTTAAACACTTAATTTACGTACTGAAACCAATTTTTGAGAAAGGAAGAAAATGAGAACAATTACTAAAATTTTGAGAACAGTAGCGACGTTAATGAGATTTATCAAAGCAGTGATTTTCCTTATTGCGTTACGTTAACCGAACTCGCTACGCAAATTTAAAACGGCTTACAATGCTTACCGTTTATTTAAATTTGTGCGGCCTTTAAGCTACAGGAAGTAAATTAATGTAGAAGAAGCGTAGGGGGAGGGGAGTAAAAAACATCATTACCGCGCGGTAAACTTGAACGTAAGTAGGTGCTGTACTGTCCCGTAACAGGTAACTGTAAAAATTACCCGCTATGTTCAGTATAACTACCTAATTAAACTTGACACCCTGCTGCAAGTCATCTTCGTATTGTGTGTCACTTAATACTCGGGATATTCGTCAGCCGAGGTCAATTTCGAACTTCTTACTCAGACAAACCTTTCCTTTAAAAGCATTCCATGAATCACTGCGCAACACATCGCGGAAACCGAATGCAACCAACCATCCTCAGTTTGAGGGACGTTTAATTTAGGCAACCCAGTATTTAAAGTTTTTTAGTGTTAACAAAGGCCTATACGGTATTGTCAAGGCACAGAATAGGCACTTCCCTCGTGAGAACCTGGCAAGGTTAAGTGTGGCAACGTTATCATTGCTAAACGCCCGCCGAGCGTATTTACAACACACCGAGTCTTGCCGACACGACCGACACATTTGTTACATTACCTACACCGTCAGTAAGAGCTACGCAATTTATTAATATTACAGCATTCATCTAATAAATATTTGAATCTGTAGAATCTGTGATGATTAGGTCCGCCCGTCCGTCACACGTGGACGCCTCTGATCGCCCCCAAAATAGGAATGACCTTCTCATTGACATTGTGAAATAGACGAGTTGATAACGTGCCGATCGCCGAATGTCACAGCGAGGCTAGCGGGGCCCCCCTCCTAGCAGTCGTCTCCCCACTATAACAGAATAGCGTACGCCTTCAACATTACAACTTTACGTTACATCGCTGGTTGCAAGTAGCCGCTTTTAACTATATTTCGATGCGAGACAGAGATATGCTTCGAGCCAAGTGAAATAACTGCGATTGTATTATTGGGACATGTACTGCAATCAATCCGCAAATAATCAAGTCAACCGACGTACGGTAAACTTCGATTGTGGATTGCTCGAGGCAAACGGCGAGCTACACTGTGACTTTCAAAGTGGATTATTGAAGACAATAGGTAGAGACACAACGCATTTATGCGCATAATGATAGCCTTTAACTTGTAAGCTTATAAAACGGAAACGAGGAGTTTCATTTACTGTTTAATATGTGGACATTCTGCATAAATTTTATTGAAACTCACTGCATTTCCATAGCTCGTTTATTCAAAAAATATTTTAAAGTTGTATATATTTTTTTTATTTAATAGTATTTAGTAAATATTTTATAGTTAAAATATCTCTTACATGGTTTAATCCACTGTAACAAATGCCAATATTTTGCAATATAACGTTGCGATTAAGCAAATACGATAAGAATGTAGGTTAGCTCCCGTCATATGCAGCCAAATATTATCAAGTGCTTCGCTAACATCGCAAATTCTTATCGGCCCGTCTCTTCGCAAACAGTCTGACAAATAGGTCACGCTTTATTTATGTACCCATAACATTAATAACAATCCGGCCTGGAAACGCGTCGAAGCGTCTGCGTTGACTAGGACCACTGAAATAACTTAACTATTTATACAGCAAAAGAATCAAAAAAGAAATTGCTCCAACCAAACACGCGACGTGATTCATTTATTTGTAAGTCGGGAAATCAGATTTGGAATTTGCCTTTACCATGTCGTTGACATTTCGTGCCCGTTTGAAATTAAACGATGAATATATTATGGTATATTAAATCCATATCTGCGCAAACATAGTTTGTATTCAGCTATAAAAGCACGAGTAGTTTTGGGGACCTTTTAAAGTATAGGCTCAGCCGACCCAGTCTTTTTAAAATCATTCTATTTACAGCTAACTCTTCGATATTTTGCAAAGGGTCAGCTCTATTCACTAGCGAAAAATGTTTGAAATCTTGTTATTTACGTCAGACTAACCCCTTTAATTTAAGATTGCTTTAGAATTTAACCCTTTTCATAGTACCTGGATAAGCTTTGCTTAGCAAAAATATTACACGGCCGAAATGCAAAGCAGAATAGGTGAAGTATCTATAATCCAAAGGTTTCCTTTAAAATCTTCACTACTCCACAGAGGAAAGAATACATTAATTAAGAGAAAAAGAAACTAAAATATTGTGGCTACATCTTGTTTTACAAAAGTGTTGCATGAATTTGTCCATATCGCATTTTTTGCCTTATTCAGTGTTATTCCTCGTCGGTTATAATTACGTTAGTTAATAAATTGGTTTCTTTCTTAGGTGGTGTCACGAGACTGCAGTAGTTTACTACAAGCACACTACCGTCTCGATGGCCACCCGCACGTCAACCCCATACACGAAGTTCTAGTCGGCGACAAGAGGGTGTATCTAATATTCCCTCGTTCGCACTCTGACCTCCACTCATATGTGAGGGCGCGGAAGCGGCTAAGGGAGCATGAAGCCCGCAGGCTCTTCAGACAAATGGCAGAAACGGTCGCGGCGTGCCATGAACAAGGAATCGTTTTAAGAGACCTCAAACTAAGAAAGTTCGTCTTTGCCGATGCACAGAGGTGAGTTGCTTGCTCGTTTATTTATGTTGTAGTATTTATAATCAATGTTCAATGGAGTATAAAGAATCTCGGTGACGTCACTGAAAATTATGACGCCAACCGAGAACCGTTCGACCGCGGTTCCGATTGCCGTCGTCGCCGTGTGCTAAATTTTGCCAATGAAATATCTGACGCAATTCAGTTCCTTAGTAACTAAAAAAGTGATATCTACTTCTGTCGACCCACTTGCGGCGCCCCTACCTGATCGATAAATTATTACTTCCTCCACATTTTTATGTGTCGGCGTATCAGTCATAAACGTCTATCGTGGTAAACTGCATAATGATGACAAAATTGTAGTTAGGTTACCGGAAGCAGGTATTCTTAGTAGAACGTCGTTTCCTTTCGTGAGTCAAAAGCGGTCTGTACGACCGCGATAAAATAGTTATCGACTCATTCATTATGATAATTGAAGGCAATACGTGTCGCTTTCATTGTGGTAGCTGTCGTTCTAATAAACTGACGCATTGTCAACTTCCACGTTAAACAGCCGCCGGCGCTAGGATAATTTGCCACCTTATCAGAATTGCAAACTTCACATAGCAATACGAGTAGAACACTAGTATCTATATACCAAAGTGTTAGCAAATAGGGCTATAGGGTTTACGATAGGATTACTCAACACCTTTATTAATTACGGCCGTCAGCCGGTAGGAACCGGTGGATTTTCGAACTTTTGAAATGTTATCTGGCCTCCATTGTTGCGAATATCTCCGGCAGTGCTAGCGACTCAAGGCGAACGGTGTCATTGCTGCGTACAATACTGCGCCGCATTCGGGTCAAGGGGCCGCCGATATGCGCTTGCACACCGTCCACGCGTCTGCACTCGCATCACATCCCCCATGTAGCATTTATGCGGGTACCTACCTGCTACACGCGATCAGGTGATCCTAAATACTCTCACGGAAAATATAACCAGATTTATGCACCCCTTTCCATTACTCGACGTTTTAATAGAAAACATTTCAGTCTCACAAATTGAATCCTTTTCACCTGCCCGTATCCCAAAGTAACGAATGTGGAGTCTATAAAGATCTTATTGTATTTTTAATTTGATTAGAATCTTAGGGAAAAAACCGTTTGTATCGTTAAGTATTTTATCAGCCCAGATATTTTTTGTGATATAATCTTCTTATTGATAATATTTCTTTTTACCACTATTGTGAATATGTTGTCGGCCCACGTCGGGGCCAACAATCAACCTTTACGTCAGTTATCCTCGGTGCTCCCGTCGCGTCAATTCGGTACGCCTCCACGCACTCCGGGGCTTGACTTGGTGTAATCGTTTCTTTGACCTTTAGTTGGCGCGGCGCTCGTCCCTGGTGTGACATTCATATCGTAAAATTCGTAAGTTTGAACACGACTTTGATTCGGCTACTGCATTAAATCCATCCAAAAACTGGCATCTATCTCACCTTTTAGTAAGTTGTTACACAAACGAAATGCATTAACGCATCAGTATTAATATCTCTTTGGAGTGGACACAGTCAGACTAGGGAAAGGGTAAAGTTTTATACTCCAGTCGGCGTCATATCATCAAAGCGAATGTTGTCAAAAGCGGCGGTTCGTGGCGCGGAAGAGGAGGCACTGCGACCGTGCTTCAAATGTAAAAACTTTTGCTCCATCCTTTACGTAATAGCAGAGCAAAGCAGCCGCGACTTGAGGAGCTTTGCCGAAGTTTGCTCTCAAAGGTGGAATGTTTTACATTTACTTATTTATTACACAGCGACTTCAAACTCCGAATAAAAGATAAACTTTCCTCTTCTATTTATTTCAGCGAAATGGAATATTAAGCAATACGTATGAGTATGTATCTGATAACCTAGAGTTTATTTATCCAGCAAAGGATTTTGCAAAGTCGTCCGGTCTTTAAATTAGCGGGATATTGCAGATGCGTTTCCAATTTACCAGGCCATGTGTTAGCAACGGAACGGAAATATGTTTTTTGTTTCCAAGATACTAACGGACCTTCCTCTGTAGGTTAAACATCTGCCAACTCCCATAGTGTCATCTAATGACCATATGTGGGTTCAAACTTTCCCAGAGCCATTTTTTAACACCTTCACAACTAAGCACCACAATGCAGATGGCCAAACAATCCCTTTTTAGCATAAACGGCCAGCTGACCTTGTCCGGCCCTAATAAATTCTAATCACCGTGCAGTGGTCATCTTCAGCTGTTCTTTGCAATCGTGAGAATGCTCCCGTGATTGTTGGTTAAGGTGCAATTTGATCAAGTGTCCCGCCCTTTGACCTCCGTTCTCACGTCTCGGGTCGCGTTATAAAGGCACCCTCTGATTATAAATTCGAGTCATCCGGCGAGACGCAGGGATCAACATCTCTCTATCCCCAGCTCAAAGGTAAACAAGGACATTAATATTGATTCTGCGTTGCCTTTGACGCTTTGAAATATATTTTCTTTCAGTTGCTTTCGTCTAGAAAATAATTAACTTTGATCGGAATAACATCAACAAACTATTACTACCAATACTATTATTTTCTACTATAAAAGTTTGTATTCAGATGGAATAGATAAATTGCAGTATCAGTATTTTTTCTAGGTCAAAATGCTAGTCCGTGGGCTTCATTGGAATGCCTAATGACCTCTTTTAGAGATCTTAGTCTCGAATTTCTTCGAGTCCCACTTCATAGTCGTTGTTAGAACGTTGTTCATTGTGAGCGGCAATCAACTTTCACTGGCACCACGTGTCTTGTGAGGTCTTAGTGGCAGCAAGATACAAATTGTGTTTCATACAAAAACTAGAAACTATCAAGAGAAATCTCGAGCGGTATATCCGGGCGCAGACCTTGGGGGAGGAAATCGAGGCTGCCGATAACGCAGGTAGCTTGATCCTTGCACCCTGCCTGCAATGTGATCAAATTAAATAAAAAAAAAGTTTATATAAAAAACAATATCACATGTTACACAAAGCGTTTTTACATAGAACATACTTCCTCTTCATACAAATCTACTAACCTGTGCGGCTTGAAAAAATATCAATTGTATAACGTAGTTGCGTTTCTAACTTCCCGGCGAAAGCCGGATGTTTGAGTACAAACTGCGTATTGTCCGAATAATGCATCCTTAATTTGGATCCGTCCGACAGGAACAGGATACTATGAGACGGAAATATATTCAAACAACCAAAATATGCATTGTCCACGACATTCACCAGAAATTAATTGGTTTCGCTCGTTTTTTCAATGGTCAGATAGTGTACACCAGACAGAGCGGTGCCCGCGATTGCAGTCATTCTCCAAGATTTACAGATACACAAATCCTTTGTAAACATCCTCAGGTATAAATTTGTCCTCGTACCATTGTTCAGACTTATCCCGCCCACTACAAACCTAAATAATATTCTTACGGGCGCGACGAACGTTCCAGGTAACAAAACAAAACCCGAGTTTTTGCGTAATACGCGTGTGAGGAGCCGGATAGAATGATCAAATGAACTGCAAACAATGACGATGATACGGCGGCGTTTTATTACGCAATCTGATATTTGCAGCATTCGATAGTTCAGAATGCTCGAATATGATCGGAATCCCATTGATATATAACACTAGTTGAATTCTTAACAAACAGTGGAACAAAATTAGATCCCCGTGTTTTATTTTTTCTAGTGTGAGTATCATCAGCGATGTATTCGCATATTTGCGGAGTTAACGGGATATTTATGGTTCTGCGCTGGCGCTTGCCAGCGGATGTGCCAAATTGGTCCGAGATAGACAGCCGACCCGGCAGACGCCGCCGCGGCGCATTCCGACCCGGCCACCGGCTACTCACTCGTTTATTTCTGAATCTGAACTCCATTAAGCTGAGACACCCTTTGAGCGCAACTCCTGCGTCCCAGACCAAAAAACGACACGCGAAGGCAAATCGTGCATTAAAACATAGCTCGAGGTAATACCCGATACCCAGACGTCGATCAGCAGTCCACTGCCTACACCAGAGTATTTTGAAAACATTTTGAAACCGAATTGCCAAAGCTCCGTGGTGCAAGATACTACATTACAGTGGCATATTTGCATAATACTGGGCGCTTAGTTATCCGCGGTACGCCTGTCTCGGTTTCTCCAATTGTATAACTTTAGAAACATAGGAACCGCCAAGAGAGTTGCCTCACGTGAAGTACTACCATCGGTTACTGTGGCGAACGAAGATTTCGCATTTGCGCCGTTGGCACTTGAGGATGGCGGGCGTTATGCTCGCGCGGGTGTGGCCGCTCGAATTAGAGAAATGATGGCACATAGAGTTACCAAAATAACGGTATAAATCAAGCGAGCCGGTATTCAGAGGAGATGTTTCTCGTTTTGGGGCGTTTGTTAGCGACCTCGATCGCGTGGCGCAGTGAGGTCGCGCAGAAACTGTGCCAATGTCGCGCTGCCGACGCATCGCGACGCCGACTCCGCTGCCTCGCTAATCGTGCGGAACCACTGCTTCAAACAGACCCGATGACGCCTACTAATACTAATAAAAAAAAGTTTTAATGCATAACGTCCAAAAACGAGTGTACTAAATTCAACCGTAAAATGACCCGAAATGCTTTCGCCTTCGCCGCCTACACGTCTCCCTCATTCTGTAAATAAATGAATCGGCTGTGGAACGACGCGACGCAAGCATTTGTCACGACTATAAATAACGTATGTTCGCACCTTTTTTGGTGGTACGAAAAGACCGGACGCCGCTACCGGACGTAACGAGCAATGCTCTCGGACGATTGTCGTCCTACCTATAGCCGCGGAGTAACAAACAATGCACACGTCAGTCTGCACGCCGAATGCCGGACATAGGTGTCATCCGCTCAGAACCAAATCCCATTGTAAACGACCTGAGACGATAATAGTTCTTATTATAACGTTCACCTTGCTCAAATAAGGGTACGTTTTTGTTATGATTACCCTTAAATAGATTTCATATTCACATCGTATATGTAATTGAGATACTATAGATAAAAC